GCTCCTTGGTGTTTTCTTTTAAAAATAAACAAAAGCTGTACAGTTATTTACATTTGAAGACTTTAACTTCATATTACATCCTATGGGGCCATACCCTACCCCTCCCTCATCTCCATCTCCTCCTTACCATGCACATTACACAGTGGGTGTAACACCTCTCAGCATTAATTAGAATTACACATCCACTGAGAGCGATAGACATATAAATGCCTTAGGTCCTGATCCAGAACTCACTGAAGTCGGGGGAAGGACTCTTATTGACTTCAGTGGGCTTGGATCAGACCTTTACAAGGTTTACAGTGCAAACATTTACTCTCAAGGGAAATCTGCACCAAAAATTCTGCAAATTTCATTTATCAATAAATAAATGTGGAGGCTGACACAGCACAAAGGCCAGGCGTGCCTCAGAAACACTCCAGGGCCCTGCTTTTCTGCACCAGGTGAAGGCAAGCAGGCTCAGTCCAGTAGGACCCAAGTGTGGAGGGGCTCAGTGTGGGGGGATCCAGGTGTGGGGCGAGAGGATTCTGTGTGGGACAATCTGGGTGTGGACGGCGCAGTGAGGGGTCCAGGTTTGCTGGATGCCCAGGGGCCTGTTGGGGCTTTCTGGTTTCAGGGCAGTGGGTCTCTGCAGGGAGGTTCAGATGGAGGTAGTTGGGGTTCTACAGGGAGCATGGGAAGGATAGGGATAGCAGGGGGTCTGGATGTGGGGTCTCAGCAGGGGCGTCCAGGTGCAGCTGGTTGGGGCTCAGTGGGGTGGGAGTCTGGGAGTGAGGGACTTGTAGGGTAGTCCAGGTGCAGAGGGGGATGGGGTGGGGGATTGAGTGTGGGGGGCTTGTAAGGGGTGAGACTTGGCAGAGGGGGTCCAGGTGTGGGGGGCAATGGGATGCAGGGGGTGAGGCTCAGTGGGGTGGGAGACTGGGGGGTGTCTGGATGCACAGGGATTTGGTGGATGGGGGAACAGCTCCCTGTACAGCAACCCCTCCCCCTGTGGCTGAGAAGCAAATGGGGGCAGGAAGCAGGAGGGTGGGGGGAGATGCGGAGCTTCGTGCAGTTGGGGGGCTTCTGGGGGTGGGTCTGGCAGGAAAGAGCAAGTCCCATCCTCCCTCGCCCCCAGCCCAGCCGGGACTAGCAGCTGAGCGTGTGCAAAGTAGGAGACACTGGTTGGGGCATTCCCAGGCCCCCCCCAGTGCACCCCCACAGTGACTTACCTCTCCCCCAGCAAACTCGATGGTACAGTTTAGCATTTTTAATACAAAAATATGCAGCATGTTGAAAGTATGGGAGTAGAGTAAAATAACATGCCTGCGGGGGGTGCCGTATCAGTTGCTTGTTCCTGTGTATATTTAATTGAATGCAGAATTCCCCACCTGCTCGACTAGTCCTAGAGCACCCAGCCCCTTGAGAGCAGGACTGAGCTCACAATTGTAGGTCTTGCTGAGTTGGCTTATTCAGCAGTGTCCGCTCTAATGGGTGTCCTGATCAACTGATCCCGGCAAGCGCCCGTTCCTCTGCCTGCACCTTAACAAAGAGGTTAGAGCGCTGTGAGAACTTGGCAAGCCCTGCGCCTCAGCCTCACCTCCTGCTCCATGCTGACAGGGCTGCAGCCTGCACCAGAGCCTGCTCAGGGCTGCTGCTGCTCCTGCATTAGTAGGCAGGAGTGACCCCTCCACCATGCAGGAGGGGGCTAGCTACCACTCTGCATCAGGCTACTTGAGACTCAAGTGATGGGAGAAGGAAGGTTTAGTGGGAGGTGAGAGCCTGCCCCTCCTCCTGGGGAGGAAGCCCTTGTACGGGGAAAGGACGAACTTCCCCATCCACCTGCCTCATTTGCCATTACAGCTGAGTCTCCTTCTCCCCCATCACTTCAGCTGCTCCAGGTTGCCCCCCTGAGGCTATGTCCTAACTGCAGAGTTCACTTGAGTAGGCTCTCGAGTTAGCCTAGCTCAAGTGAGAGTGAAATAACACGCAAGCTACAACCAGCGATTATGTTAGCAGCACGGAGTGGGTGTGTTAGTAGCTGATGATCAGTCGCCCTGTCCCCCCAACGGACCAGCCAACATGAGTTAAAAGTACCACAGCTCTGGAGTTAAGGGGTTGTGTGTGTGTGGACGGGACTCGAGTTCGGACAACACTTGTTATAACTTGGGTTCACTCTGCAGTGAAGACAAGCTTTGAGTGCCGCATCGGGCTTTAATATTGCCCTTCCGCTCAGTTAATTTTTCCACTAGTCCTCACTTCTTCAATCTGTCCCTGTCAGGCAGGCTGGCAGTGCACTGCCTACATGCACAGATAGCCCATAGGTCCTTCTCACAAGGTGAGGACCAGTGCTCAGATCCTTGAAGGTACAGTACATAGACATTATCCTGCTCAACATAGCAGTACTTAACTCTAGACAGTCTGCTGCCCGGTGGAACGATCAGCCTTGTGCTGGGCTCCCCTTACAGTGCAGAGGGAGAGCTAGTCACCTAAGGAAGGAATCGGCAAGGGAGCCGCCTAAGCTAGCTGGGAGTGAAATCCCGAGGAAAGACTTGGGGCAAGGAGAAAAGCTTAGGCACCGGAGCGGCTGGCTGCTGGGTGCCTCCCTCCACGTGGCAGTCTCAGCTGCAAACCCTCTCCTGGAGTGAGGCACCAAAGACAGGTCAATTACTTAGCCCATGCCCTGGCAGCTGAAACCATCTCTCTCTTCTGCTCACGCTCTCCCACACTTGCTCTTGTCCACAGGTATGGCTTAATCATGCTCTGAGCACACCTACAGGACTGGGCCCTGCTGGTGAGATAGGCGTTCCCCTTCCCCTGACCAATTTGAGACTCTGGCTTAGGGGTCTACAGGGTGTCAACTTGAGCAAGGCCTCCAAGCTGCTCATTAGTTGTGGGGCAGCGTCACCATTTAGGTGGCTTTGCAAATGCTGACCAGCATTTGGAGGTGTCTCCAAGGTTAGGTGTCAACTATGAGAACATCCATAATGCCTGAATGTGGACTTAGTCGCCTAAGAACCTTTAAGGATCTGGGCTGTAGGGATTTTCATATGCGTTTGCCTGAATAAGGACTGTGGGATTCTGACCCTTTACAGCAAGATGGGGCTGCAAACTTTACGACTGCTCTTTCCAAGGAAAGGTTTAAAAGGAATGCCGTCATGATGGTGGGTAAAGCTCCCAAAAGTGCCAGATCCTCAAAGGTATTTCATAGATTTCATTGAGCTACATAGATTTCATTGAGCGTTAGCGGCTGAAATACCTTTGAGGATTTGATATTCGGATTTTAGGACCCTAAACGACTTTCAGTGAGGTATAGGCTCCTAAACCACTTGGACACTTTTGAAACTGTTACCCAAAATGGTCATTGACTCTCATATGGGCAAAAAAAGAGGGACTCGTGCAAAAACGTTCTCCCTTAGCCTGGGGTGATCCTGTGTCCCTGGGCCAGATTCATTGCAGAGAGGGAGAGTGAAGGGCTGGGAAATCTCTGTTTTTTTTAAACAGTTCTCATTATTTATAACTGAGGAGAGAGAAAAGGCTGCATAGAAAAACACGTGTGCAGTAAGAGCCTGGTTTTCAGGGGAGCTTAGCACATGTTTCTACTGTTTTCCTGTTACTAAGAGTGTTCAGCTAGTACAATGGGAAATAGTGTGATGGCCTGTTGGTATGGCGAGGGCAGACTGCCCTGGGAATTTTTAAAAAAAAATCTGACCCTCGGTGCATCCCAAATACAGACATTTCTTCAGAAGTGTTTGTAAGAGCCCAAAGGATAAGTAATCCTGGTAGGGCTCCAGAGATGGGGTGAGTCCCATCAGAGACAGAAATTACCCCCAATCTCCCCTCGATCTGGCAGTAGAATTTAAACCAGAAGCGCCCAAGGAACCCCTCCTTCCCACACATCACTATGCAACAGTGTCATAACAGCCTCGATTAAGGATGGAATAGATCCAAGAGGTTGAGTTTTTGTCTCAGAGAACGACCAGCTGCACTGGCCAATATCGCTCCCTGCTGTGGCACAGTGGTGAGGTACCACCATTGTGTGTGTGTGTGGGGTGTGTGGGGCGGGATGCTTGCTCTGTATAGAAATGCAGCAGACTGACATTTCAGAGGTGAAAGCAGTCTTACTGCAGCTTATAAAACCAACCTTCGTGAAGGAACAATGGGCCTGGCTGGGACTTGCATGCTTTGGAACTACTTTGCCCCTTCACTGCAGAAAATTAATATACTAATATGTTATGTGCAGCTAAAGTAAAGAAAGCAGATCAGTAACATTCCTGTAATAACTGTACTGCTGGTATTACATTTAAAAAGAACTTCTAATTGGTTCATTGGGGAAAAAATAGAGTATCAAAAAATGTATACGCAAAAAGAAAAGGAGTACTTGTGGCACCTTAGCGACTAACCAATTTATTTGAGCATGAGCTTTCGTGAGCTACAGCTCACTTCATCGGATGCATACCGTGGAAACTGCAGCGGACTTTATATACACACAGAGAATATGAAACAATACCTCCTCCCACCTTAGGATTCATTGTTAGCAATTAGGATTGCTTAAAATAAATGGAGTCTTCGCTTTAAAGGGTGTCTTGAGCTTTAGCTTAAAACCTGTGAAAAAAATCTACCTTGGGAAGTACAGTGTTTAGATACCTACCTAGAAGGCGTGCTTGCCTGATCCAGTGTGCCAGTCATATGTTCTTATGTATGGTATTCCTTACGTAGTCCGCAGGCTGCAGCTGTGAGTTTGGTCCTTTGTGAAGCGGCATCTAGCAGTACAATTTCAAGGTGATATTGGGAGTTTGCCACAAAATTCCTTTCACCATCATGTAATTTTGAGCAGGTCCGCCTACATGCTGGGTTGGGAATGGTCCGCTGATGGTGTCAAGGAACATACAAATGGTTCAGATCAGTTTCTTGGACATAAAACAGTTTCATTAGTGAGAAGCCTAGAGATTTCTGGTGTTTCAGTGACGTGATCGTGCAGCTCTAAGATTGTGATTTTGTTGGGTTTTTTTCCCCTTCTCCAGGGATTGCTGTCTGCAATATCCCGTCAGCAGCTGTGGAAGAGACTGCAGATTCCACCATATGCCATGTCCTAAACCTCTACAGGCGGAACACTTGGCTGTATCAAGCACTGAGGGAAGGGACCCGGGTGCAGAGTGTGGAACAGATAAGGGAGGTGGCCTCGGGAGCAGCTCGGATCAGAGGAGAAACTCTCGGCCTCATTGGATTTGGTATGTTGGCAACTTCTGGGGGACAAAATATCCAAAGCAGAGCCATCTAATGGATCTAGATGGATCTAATGGAGTCTCGACCTTGGAAGAGTACGACTCTCAGGACTTACATATGAGATGGGCAACTGGTCACCCAAGGGCTGCATCCCACTAAACAGATTATTTTATTTGTACCCCTGCAGTCCAGCTCGGTGCGGGCGATCTGGTGGTGTCAGGGCCAGGAAGGGGGCCCGGTGGCTGTGACATGATACTGTGGCGAGAGCCAACAGGCCAGAGTTGGGAGCCAGGCCCAGCCTTGTGGCAGAGGAGCCAGTAGTGCAGCATGAATGCGGGACAGGCTTGTTTCCCAATCCCCCTCCCCCAGGACTCCCCCCGCTAGCCTGTCAAAGGGTTTGAACAGATTTTGTGGCTACCTACACTACCTTAAAGTTCCCCATCCCTGACTTAGATCTTCAATATCAGCATAGCTTGTTTTGCTACATTTACTGGACAATGCACTTGTGAGCCGTTTTGTAGTGATACAACAGGAGCCACGCTAGGGGTTCCACCAATTTAACGGTGTTTTTAAGCTGCTATAGTTCCGTGGGAACAGAAGCAATGTGCCCTGATTTTCCGCCAAAGGAGCCTGTTCTTTTCCTGTTCAGAATTGTGAACCCAGCTTCCTCTGCAAAAAGGAAGCAGATTTCCAAGGCTGCGGGGACTTTGGTGAGCCCCATCTCCTCAGGGCTTTTGTGAGCCTCTCGTGCACTCTCCCTTTACCCTGTGGTAGTTTTCCCAAAGGGTTCTCCACACACACTAGTAGCCTTGTTTCATGCTGTATCTTCCCACACGCTCTGCTCTGGAGTGTGACCATGAACCTTTGCAACAATTTCTGTATCCTCTTGCTAGCGATGATTTTTTCCACAGGCAGTGCCTTGGCCATGCGCGAGGCCAGTCCATGTATTTGTTACATGAACCAGCCTGTGTGTGAATGTGTGCTTCCCCCAGGAGCCACACAAGGTGGGAGCCTAGCTAGAGCTAGCTCCTTCTTGGCTCCCTGCTCACTCCTCAGAGAAGATTTCAATTTCGCAAATAGTGTAGCTGAAGTCGGCACATCTTAGGTCAACTTACCTGGCCTTGAGGAGGGCGGCGAGTCGACTGCTGCCACTCCCCCGTTGACTCCGCTTCCGCCTCTCGTGAGCTGGAGTTCTGGAGTCGATGGGGAGCGCGTTCAGGGATCGATTTATTGCGTCTAGCCAATCAATTCCTGATAGATGGATCACTACCCACCAATCCGGCAGGTAGTAAAGGCCTGCCCTTAGTGTGGTGCTCTCTTTCCCCCTAGTGGTGGCTGGGCCAGAAGTTGCTGAGCCTGCTACAGCCTTGGCTGAGAGCTGAGTCTTTTAATCCAGGCAGTAGTGGCTCATGCTTTTAGGGCCAGAGGTCCTAGGTTCAGTTCCTGCTGCTGATGACCCAGTTGCTCTGACTCTGCCATGCTGGCCAGCCCATTTTGGGAGCAGAGCCCAATCCCTGTCCACCAGTGCATAAGGGAAATTCCAGGATGCCGCAGAGGAGAGGGAAGTCTCACTCCCCCGAATGCCTTCTGCATGGCTGCGCAAAGCCAAGCCAGAATCTGACTTGCAGTGGAGCGAAAGTAGCACAGATAACTGGCATTGTGGCTCATCTTTTACCACTTGTGGCTAATGTGCATTAAAGATGCTTTAACGCTGGGCTGAAGATGTAGTGAGTCATCTGGCTAGAATATACCTGTGGGTTCAGTTAAACCAAAAATCCCACAAAACCCCCACAGCACTGAGTCTTAGAGCCCAGGGTGGATCACTTGATAATTGCCCTGTTTTGTTTATTCTTTCTAAAGAATCTGACACTGTCCACTTCGGCTACTGGGCTAGATGGACCATTGGTCTGAGCCAGAATGGCCGTTCTGTTGTTGTTATTCCAGAGCCAGCATAAGCATGCTGTTTGTATTTTATGTTCCCCCAACATATATAGTCCTCACCCAGGGCACTGAGCCAGGCTAGCCCCATTATCACTGGTATTTTGGACAATGAGCCAATTGCATCCCTGCTATAACTCCTGTGATTTTGGTGGTGCTACATGAGAGGTGAATTTGACCCACTGTGTTCAGAAGCAGTTGTTGGGAAATTAAATATTCAGAAATGAGGCACTGGCCCCTGTCATGGGCTGTATGAAAACAGAGGCACTGAATGGCTGGACTTGGTCTGGAAAATTCTTCCATTTTCCTCGCATCGTAACACACTCAGGGCCTTCTCCTGTAACCACAGGCCCAAGCCTAGAGCTTGCTGCTGGAGGGAGGAGAAAGGCTCCAGCACACTCACTCATTGGAATTCCAGCTCCTTCAACTAGAGCCCCTCAGCATCACCCAGCACCAGCCAAAAGGGGGCAGTAAAATGACAGTGCCAACACTTTGCTGTGTTGAGAAATGGGCCTGGTCTGTAGACAGGGGATGCTTTGTATGAAGTACTCAGGTAAGGGCAGCTTTTCAGGCAGTCACAGCACAGGACTCACATAGCCTGATTCTAATGAGTACTTCAACATGAATGGACAGTGCCTGGTTATTTGGCTTTCTTTACATTGCCAGACAGACGAATGAGGAATGAAGGGGCATGTATTGATGTAGGAATTGGGTAGCCGAGTCCAGGCAATGACATTGAATAGGAACGACACTGTAGATAATGACCTGCTGATTGCACTGCAGCTGTCCCTCTTTATCAGAATAGCCTTACTAAACCTCTGCTTCCAAACCATGACAGTTGTCTTAGTCATGCCCAATTAAATAGCCATTCAGCAAGAGTATGGAAGAAAAAGCCTACAGCAAACAAGTTGCTCTTATAACTAGGGCTTTATTTTTTTGTGGGGGGTTTTTTGGCATTGTCTGCTTGAACAAAAGCACCTCATAAAGGATTTCATTTCTTACTACAGCTCCTCATGGCCTGGTCTGCTCAGAGAACACACAGAATGTGGCCCTACCCTGGTGGGGTTGTAGCTGCAAATTCTGACCTCAGAGCCAAGTGCTGCAGGGATGCAGATAGTTACGTTTACTCAAACAAGAGTCTTTTAAATAACATGGCAAATGCTTAATGGACGGTCCTTTTACCACTGTTGCTGCTTGTATTGTAAAGGCGCATTCTAGGCCTAGCCCTTTGCACGCTGTGCTATATGGGTAATGTTTGCCCTTCAGATAAGTCAACAGCTAGACAGTTGATCCTGAGAATTAAAGAGGCTTACAGATGTCATGGCTGCAGCAGGGAGGGGCCGCCTCAAAGGCTGGCGGTTTGTGTAACTGGCACAGGGGAGCGTTAAATGACACATTTGGTTACTTTTTTTTGCTCTTAAACCAAAGGCAGAATGAACTGAAGTGATGTAATCACCAGGTTTGGGGCTGAGGTTGCTGCAGACGGAAGTTTGGCATAAACATGCCAGTGAGTGATGGGGAGGGAGAATGGGCAGTGCAGGGGGTTAGTGATAATATTTAGCCATTTTCCTGCTCAGAGCACTTCACAGCCCTCATTTAATGAACTTGTGCACGTTAGAGGTGCAGAATCTGATTCCCTCGGTGGCACTGGACTTCACCGGCATGTCTCAAGTTTCAGAGCTGGGCTTCGAAGTTCCTGGCTACGTGTCTTCCACTGAGATCACTAGCCCGTGCCTCGGCTCATGTCCTCAGAACACACCATGCCTCTTTAAGGAGAAATCCTTTCCGCTACACTAGCTTTCCCCTCTGCACTTCTCATGTCAGCCACATGACCTAAGTACAGTACAAGAGTATGATATTAGTCTAGACCCATAGGCACCTAAATAATTTGAAGATTGGGGCCTAACACCTTTTGGGAGGCCCTGGAGCATAATGCCCAAGCCTAGTCCTGTTGAAGCCAATGGGAGCGGGAGCAGGCCACAGGTCACCTCCTGGGAGAGTCCGAAGAGCCAGATGCTCCTTCAGTAAGTGGGTATGAAGATGTATTAGAGAAGTGATGCAGGGAAACTTCTGTACCACCTGCCTGGCTCTAGCCACTGCTCATGTCATTCTTTCTTCCAAAAGCCCCGCACCTCAGCACCTCCTGACAAATAAATGTGGATAATAAATAAACAAGAGAGCATGCAGAATCAGTGCAGGCTGAATGAATTTGCTGTGGCCCAAGGAGAAAATACGTGGGAACAAATCGTGGAAGGAAATGGATCTGTTGCCTACATTGTTGTATAGATTCAGTGCTGCAGCGTCACATAGCCCAAGCCTTGTGACTCTCAACATCCTCTCTTCTTTTTCTCAATACATAGGTCGCACTGCGCAGGCAGTTGCCGTTCGAGCCAAGGCATTTGGATTCAGTGTGATATTTTACGACCCATATCTGCAGGATGGGATAGAGAGGTCTCTGGGCGTCCAGCGAGTCTACACACTCCAGGACCTACTATATCAGAGTGACTGTGTATCTTTGCACTGTAACCTTAATGAACATAATCACCACCTTATCAATGACTTTACGATTAAGCAGGTAATTTACCTTATCTGGAGAAGAAAGAAGATCATTTTATGGTTCTTGCTGCAAACCCAGAACACTATAATAGTGATGATACCAGTGATGATTTTACCTTTGAGAAGTTAGTTACATCTGTCTCTTGCACATTATGTACCAGGTGATAGCATTTTACTAGGTAAGAGAGCCCCTTCATGCAGTTGCTGAGACAGAAACTGGAGCCTGTTTTGTTTGACATTACAAACTAGAGCTTAGGCTTTCTAAATAAAAGCCTTTGTGAGTAAGCAAACACAAGAACCTCCTTGCTAGCTTGGAAGGTTTTCTTTTGGGGTTAATCCTACACTATGCAACCTTGCGTAGTCAATATGCAAAACACGTGTTCAGAGGTAATCTTTTCAGCAAGGAAAATATGCCTGTATTTACCATATAAAGTGTTCTGTGATTCTGCATACAGTGCTTGTGGCTTGGAAGATGTCAGTAGGGGAGGATGCTACCTACTGTAGCATTTAAATACATTGTAGTGAGACGTGAAGAGTAATTGGATAACAATATTGAATATTTTCTTATTTCCTCCTGGATTCCATTAGATGAGGCAGGGCGCATTCCTAGTAAACACAGCACGCGGCGGGCTTGTGGACGAGAAAGCCTTAACTCAAGCCCTGAAGGAAGGAAGGATACGAGGAGCAGCGCTTGATGTGCATGAATCAGAGCCATTTAGGTAAACAATGGTTTGTTGTTTTTTTAAATTAAAAGCTACCTATACATAGTGCAGTTAATTCACTTTTCATCTTACAAGTTATTTTAGCGCTCACATTTATTCCCATTGACACAAGCTCCCACGATTGGGCCCTGTGAATGTTGAGCCTAGAATTCCTAGAGCTATGAAACAGAAAATACAGTAGGCATTGTTCTAGGACAGAGGTGGGCAAACTATGACCTGCGGCTGCCTGGCCTGGTGCTCTGGGCGGTGCAGCTGTAGCCACCAGTGCTCCAGGCAGCGCAGTAAGGGGGCAGGGAGGGTTGGATAGAGGGCAGGGGAGTTCAGGGTGGTGGTCAGGGGGTACGGGTGTGGATACTGGGCGGGATGGTCAGAGCGTGGGGAGCAGGGGGGTTGAATGGGGGCAGAGGTCCTGGGGAGGCAATCAGAAAGGAGAGGGGGGGTTGGATGGGACAGTGGGGGCAGTCAGGGGCGGGGGGTCCGGGAGCAGTCAGGGGACAGGGAGGGATGGATGGGGAGGCCGGGCCACACCTGGCTGTTTGGGGAGGCACAGCCTCCCCTAACCGGCCCTCCATACAATTTCGGAAACCCGATGTGGCCCTCAGGCCAAAAAGTTTGCCCACCCCTGTTCTAGAATCAGTAATCCAAGGAAATCTTGATACCATAAATAATTTAAAATTTTGGTTTAAAAACAAAGTTGAAAAGGGACTGTGTCAGGTTAAAAGTCATGTTTCATTACAAAGAATGTTCTGCTGGACAGTGAAAAAAAACCATGAAGATTTCACTTTCCGACACTAGCACAAGTCTGCTACGTTTGCAATGCAGACACTACAGGAGAGTGTTTGTTTATAAATGCAAATGAAAACTGTTACTGCAAATCAGGGACATATTTCTGGTGAGGTTTTGAGAAAGCTTTTTCTTTATTTACATACGTATAACTCTATACAAACTTACAAACTCAAGGGTTCAAATGACCTGACAGTGTCTCTTCAAGTCTAGAGCATTAGTGACTTTGTTCCTTCAGTCCATAGTGCAGGAGAAGAGAGACCCTGCTGGAGACAGATGAATTATTGTTGCTGCGAGGGAGACGCCCAGTCATTTATCTCCTCATTAATACTAGTGATGGAAGTATTAAAATCAATCATCCAGCAGGTTTATAAAAGGCTGTCAAATCCACCTGCTGTTATTATCACAACTGCTGGTTTTTAAATTTTTCAGCACTGATGCAAAGTCCAAAATGCCTACTGAAGCCTCGTACTAAAGCAGCATTTCAGCACCTCTTCCCTCAAAGCCAGACACCCCTCAACAGTTTCAGACCAGAGGGAGAACCTATGGTGTTCCATGTTCACTACATGTGGCTGTAAATCATGTGGCTAGAGCAGAGTGGCTTGCATGTTAAGGAAGCTGGCCATTAGATTTTCACGATTTGTAACTTTCACCCTGATTTTTCATGTTTACATAGTTTTGCTCAAGGCCCATTGAAAGATGCTCCTAATTTAATTTGTACTCCACACACTGCTTGGTACAGTGAGCAGGCATCCTTAGAGATGAGAGAGGCTGCTGCTACTGAAATCCGTCGCGCAATCACAGGTATCTAACTCTGTCTTTTTATCTTACGCATATTCTAGTTAGCTTATGTTTGTTTTGTAATAGGCAGCATGAGTCAGTGGATTGGACAAGGAGCCAGGAGACCTCGTTTCTAAACCTGGTTTTGCCAGAGTCGCTGTTACGTTGGACAGCTCATATGTGGCCCAATTGAAACAGGTGCCTAGCACCCACAGCTCTTACTGATGTCTGTGGGTGTGCATCATTACCCCCATTTTACCGGTGGGGAAGGTATCAAGCCCTGAACCTCTCCATGACTTGTGGGAAATGATCCTTACTCCCTTTGTAAAGCACTGTCAGCCGATAAGTGTTATTGGTATTCCACACAGTGCAGTTTTATGACCGGCACAGCACCTGGCTGCCTGGCTGACGCAGTCCATGTGTAAGTAGGGGTCATTTTAATCATTGCCACTTTTAAAGCAACAAACCAAGACTGTTGAAAAATAACCTTTGATGTCCCATGCTCTGATAAATCAGAATAATTGTGCGGTGACTGCCAGAGGGCTTTGGTGTCCCAAGGCCTCGGGGCACTTTAACCATAAAGAACTATATGTCCCAGCTAAACCCCACAGTCACCGTAGAGCAAAAAGGAAATGGCAGCGATCCAGCCCCCAACTTCCCTCACGCCTTCGGAGCAGGTAACATGAGCACGATTGAGGAGGCCAGGAGGGCTTGAGCCTCAGCCAACAGTATTCCACCCAGTCACCCAGCGTTGACGAGAAGAAGGCTGCTCCCCAGCAACCAGTGTAACCTAGGGCAGCCATGAGGTTATACTGGAGAGTGCACTGGGAACCAGCTAGCCCTAGATCAGAGGACTACAAGGGTAACATAAAGCCCCCTTTGCCCCAAACCCTCCATCTGTGGGTCTTGCTGCAGGCACAGCTGAACTTAACCCAAGAATTGGGCCCATTGTATGTATATATAACATGACAGCAAAACTTTGGCTCTCGCTCTTCACCTTGCAACTAAAGTTATTTATCTTAGGTGGGGCCAAAGCTTCTTGCCTAGACGCATCTCTGAAAGCAGCAGAAAGTCAAGTCCCAGGGCTTTTCTTTTTTCCCACAGTAGAGGCACAGCAGCCCGCTATGCTGAATGGCTAGTCTGGCTCCAAAAACACTGCTGCATTCTCCAAACCATTCCACACTGCTTGTGGCATGTGATTTTCCTTCACACTAACCATCGCAGTAGAAATCAGGAAACAGTAGCTCATTGTATCTTGATAAGGCCATAAGTTGCTTAACACTTTTTTAACTTTAAGAACTGTATTCCAGGTCGCATCCCAGAAAGCCTAAGAAACTGCGTGAACAAGGAATTCTTTGTCACATCAGCCCCATGGTCAGTAATAGATCAGCAAGCACTTCATCCAGAGCTCAATGGTGCCACATACAGGTAAGATGGAGAAAAGTATTTTCACAACTGTTTTATACAGACTGGAATTCCATATGCAGTGACAATGCTGCTAGTAACTATTTCTAAATAAAACCTCTGTGGATTTGACTAGGTAGAGGAACTGTGTGTGTAGTCATTCAGCAGGCGTTATCAGCACTGCTCAAGTTACTTATTCTGTAGCAAGCTTAGTTTATTTTACACATGTATTCCTTTGAGCCGTCACAGCAGCTGCTAAAGCTGCATCTCCATAAATGGCCCATACACAGAATCTCTCTAGGTTTGTTCTGTACTTCTGTCAAAGGGCTTCGGGCAGTCTCAAGCTAATCCAGCCAGTCGTACCATGCTCATTACCGTGGCATAAGACATGGATGGAAAACTTGAGACTGTGCATTATTCTTACTAAAAATACCCCCAAGACTTTTTATAAGGAGCTTTGGAGCTTTTGCAGAGCAGGGGCTGGAACAATCAGAAATACTTACAAATAAAAATATAGGCACTGTACAGGAAACAGCCTGTACCTTTTATTCCCACAGACAGAAGTGTGGGGGGGGGGAGGAAGATGGGCTTTGAGGCAAAGACTCAGAGTGCAATAAAACACAAATAGGCACAGGATTTTGAGAGAGATACTCAGCAGAGGCTTTGCCATATCACTTCTAATATCAGCACCATGCTATACATTAGTAGTCTGATATGTTGTTGGGATACTGTTGGGTCAGCGACTAAGGCCAAGATTTTCAGAGGTAAGAGGCTTAACACTAGCCTTTTAAATCCATGTTGAGGCACCCACCAGTTTCCAGGTTTTAGGGTCTTGGTTTTAGGTGTATAGAAACAAGGTCTTACAAAACCCAAGGCCATGATTCCAAGATTTTAAAAAAAAACCTCCCTGTGTTTATTTTAAATTAATAGACATTCCCCAGCAGTGTTTGTAACCAGAATACTGCAGCATGATCCTATTGGCATCCGGGCAGAACACTGCAGCATGGTGGTAGGGAATGAAAACTGGAAAATGAAACTGATTTCCCAATTTTCTTTGTCCAAACTGAGAGCAATGCAAAAAAAGTAATTAAATGTCATAAACAGCGGAAAGTAAATAAGGCTTTTAAAGTGCTTCCCGTTTCCGTGTAAGCTGGGTTTAGTAACCAAGGTTACTGTGTTTTATGACGATACAATTTGACAGCGTCCCTGTTTAAGTGGATAATTCTACTGGAAGGAGGTGTCTGAAGATGAGACTAATTCTAGCACATATATCCTCCTAGCTTCTATGGGCCCTCCCACGGCACACATACTAAGGAACCCACTCAGCCAGATTATAAAATCCACATGTGGGGCCAGACCCTGGCCTTTGTGATAGCTGCTTTGCGTTTCACAGTGGCACTTGGCTACTGAGTGCTTGGCCAAGGCTGTATATTATTCCATTATGGGGTACAGCTTAATTGTACAAGAAAATGGTATCAAAATAGAGTTGTTCATGTTTGTATTATTTGAAAAGGGAAGGCAATTATAACAATCAGTAAAATGTCCATAGCCAGTTGTGTAGTTAACTTATGCCGCAGTCACCAAAGGGGGGAGGAAATGAAGGAGTAAAAGGGTCTGCTTTTCAACTCTGTATGAAACGCTCATAATTAAGCATGAATGAGCCAGTTCAGACAACGGTGGTGTCATACACAGCACAAAGCAAATGTTGGGATACATTCCACTGTTGCCTGGAGCAACTCATTTTATTTGGACTATCTACAAAACTAGTCATGACTCTGCTGGAGAATATAGAATTTAGCATCAAAAAGAAGCCAGAACGTCACACTTGGGCCCTCTCGTAATTGCATTGAGATGTGCCATCTCAGGCTGTGTAATGTATTGTGCTTACAGGCTGTTGCTTTCTGTTTAACTTACACCATTTTTACAGTGTGTACCACACACACTGCTTATTGTGTAACACATTTAGATACAGTGAATCAGATATGTGTACTCTGAACATATGATGTACAGCACAGATTGCTAACAATATATTTTCATTGGTGTAGATCAGCCACTTTTGGAGTATGCTTGCCCACTGTAAAGTATGAGCGCATTTTTCAGGTGTAGCAGTAGAGGCCAGGATACCAGGTATTTTAATGAGATGCAACATGTGTGTGTCCACAGCGTGTGTTGGGTGAGTTGGTTTGTTTTTGCTCATGAGCAAAGTTAACATTTGAAGCCACAACTTGGAAAATGTGGCCAACATGGATCAAACTTGTGGCCAACGTGGATTTTAACTTTTTAGTTGGTCTAAGTTAGGATCAAGATCCTTATGCCAGTGGACCTAAGAAGCCATAATTGACAATGGCCTTTTCTTCCCCCATCAATTAGGATGAAACCATCTACTTCCCTTCTCACCTTCACCTCTGAGTTCCATGTAAGTCTAACCCTGCTCCTAAAATTTCTTATCCACCATCTTTTCTTTTAGCTCTTGCTCTCTCCACTTCATACCAAAGCTACTATTAACTTCATCCTAATGGCTGCCCCTTCCTCCTCAGTCTCTTTGAGCTATGTTGTCACTTTGGTAGAGTCTGTTGCATCCCCTTCCTCTGCACTTTGCTCCTGGAACACACTCAGCTCTTTCCTTTGTGACTGCTCCTCTGATGGAAGGGACTTCATACTTGGCCCTTGCTCTGGTTTTACACTTGCTCTTTGATGCCTTAGTTTCAGCTCTGCCTTTCATACTGATGAATTACAGATCTTTCTCCATCAGCCTCATCTTGTATTTTGTCCTGGCTGTCTCATTTCCTTTGCAAGCTCAGCATCAGTTCTGCTCTCCATCTACATCTCTTCATCATGGTTGAAAATGCCACCACTCTCCAGCACCTAAGCGAACCATCGTGATTTTGCTCTTGCTGCCTCTCCCCTCCCTCCACCTCAGGATTCTAGTCTTCTTTCTTTCCCTCTCTAACATCTGTCCTGTCTCCTCCATCTCTGATCCATGCCTTGATTATCTCTTCCCATCTACTGTAAACTCCACCAGTCTGCCCTCTGTGTTTATCACCATATGCCCCACCAGATTGTGACTGCATTATCAGCTCCTACCCCTCTTTACTGGGCCCATCATTCTTTTTCTTCATACTAAGCTCAAGTTATTTGTCCTTGCCCTCTTTCAAGGTTCTGCATCGTTCCCCCTCTGCGTACATCTCTCATCTTACCAGCCCTATCACTCACTGTGCTCCTTCCTACTCTCTTGGCTTTGCACCATTTGTTAGCCCCATGCCTGAGCACAAACTGTGCTCTAGATCCTGGCTTCTGATACAGCCCCCCCACACGTGCTACTGCACTGGTTCAAATGAGACCATAAAGCTGCCCTAATTAAACAGCTGAGGAGTCCCCATCGTGGAGAGGTTCTGGAGGAGGCATGGTTAATACGTTGCTACTTTCTAGAACCTGGCTGGCATAATAGCTGCTATCTCACAGCGAGCACAATACTCAGTCTCTCCCATCCCACTGTAGCTGCACTATGCTCCCTGCAGCCCAGAAATTCTCCTAAGCATTGCTAGCACCTACCTCAGCTAACCCAAAATTCCTTCCTATATCTAACATCCCTTGGCCCATGTTTTGCACCCTTCCCTATAAATTTAGCCATTGAAATGTTTTCCTGGGCCTTTAAAGCAGTGTCAGATTTTCCAGCGTAACAGTTGATTGTGCATTAGTTTTCATGCCGTTGGACCAGGTTGCATTAAGAGGTGTTTGCTACACCTAACAGACTTTTTTATTCATCAATCCGAGTTAAGAATATTTATGGGTAAAAATATGTTCTCATAACCTTCAGCTGTCCACAGATATATCAGCTTCACAGCCACAGTAGAATACAAGCCGTGTTCAATTTATTTCGTTCCCACGAAACATTTAGCTGCATAAGTACATGGTTCAAACTGTTAAAGTGACACTTGTAAAAGTCAGCAACTTATGTCCTTTTCAGAAGACTGACTTCACTGAAATGTTTCAATTTGAACTGGTCCACCAGATGTTTTTCCCTTTAGAAGAGATTACACTAATATAGTTAGAATATCTTCTTCTGCTTGTGTGTCTAGGTCATACAGCACACCTGGTGCACGTTAGGGAGTTTCATTGCACTCCCTGTCACATGCAGCCTGCTGCCAGGCTACATTCTTGTATCATAAAATGTATCTCAGACGATGCATTAACATGAAGCCAGTAGAGTTATTTGGATCCTTCCTAAGTGAGAAGCTGATTTCTATGGTTAAAACAGCTGAAAAAAACATAATGGGGTACTTGTAGTGTCAATAGGAACGCTCAGCTTGACACTATGAATTAATTTAAAAAATAGCGCATGAAGCCTATGTGCTAACATAGAGCAACGTGCAAAGTTAAACACATCTGGGCCTTTATCCTTAAGGGATTGCAGCTAACTGGCTGGCAAGATGCAAGACAAAAAAAAAAAAAAGGGTGGTGAAGTATGATACCTGATGGGGAAGGAAGTCTTGGTTGCATTTTAAATGCATTTATTCTTCTCCCCCCCACCACCAGTTTTACCCAATTCAAATAGAAGTTTTTCACTTCTTGCCTTATTTCCTGCTGGCTGGGCATGGGAATTGTTCCTTAGCTTACAATGGTAGTGCTGCTTTCAGAGACTGATCTTCTCTGCACTAGGAGAGATTAACATGGAATAATGCCCTTCACTACATCAATGCAGGAGTAAATACAGCTTGAAACATTATATAAACACTTTGGTAATGACTAATGCAGAAAGCATTTTCCTCCTACTTTTTCACCCCCCACGGGCTAGTGATTTTTTTTTTTTAATAAAAAAGTTCTCTTCTCCACCCATTAAAGTCTTCATCAGTTACAAGGTATGGCTGTAACTCACACAAGTCCATATTCAGGGATCTTTTCACATCATCAGTTCCTAGTGGCCGCTAGTGCATCTACCTAAGGACTTTCAGGTTCTGTATAAAGGCTAAAGCCTCATTCCATTTCCTTGTAAATTTCTCATTTAAGTAGTTTTGTGTCAAGGGCTACTGCAATGTTTTTGCCTCAGAAAATTCTTGATGGAGGTATGTAATCAGTCTACAGGGTGAAGGCTTGTTTGCATGACTGTTACTATTGCTACACCAGTGGATAGAGACTACACCAGCTGCAGTTAGGGAGAAACAAACTGACCGTAGCTCCCATGAAGTGATTTGGAAAATCAATCAATGTTCACTGCCCTATGTGGACTATTTTACTTTAAAAATTAGTTCAGCTTTAAGCTTTTGATCAAACAGTAGGGTTTTTTTTTTAAAATGCATTAGGTACTAGAATAGTTACACCTTGCTGCTTGGTTTAGTGAATTACAGACACTACTACGCAGTTAGCATATATTGAGTGAGAAAAACTCTTAGCTGCCTTAACTCCTTCCAAAACACAGGTAATTTGTTCTGGTCATTCCTTCTACAGTATTTTTGCATAGTGGTGTCATTAACTGTTTCTTCCTAGATATCCACCTGGCATGGTCAGTGTCGCACCTGGAGGGATTCCAGCAGCAATGGAGGGCATCATACCTGGAGGCATTCCTGTTACCCACAATCTTCCAACAGTGGCACACCCTTCCCAAGCTCCATCTCCTAACCAGCCCACAAAACATGGGGACAACAGGGAGCACCCTAATGAGCAATAGCAGCTAATTCAAAAATTATTCAATAAACTTGGGACCAAGAGACATTGGAAAAAAGTTATACAGGAACTAAGAAAGGAATTTGATACAATATTTGTAATGTTGATTTTGGACAGATGCATCATTGATGTTCCAGTATTAAACTACAATGCGATAGCAGTCAAGACTGGGGAGAAACCCTGAAGAAGTCACCTGCTTTACTGAAGTGCTGACAACTAGGATAATATACATTAATGATCAGCTTCGGTTACTGTGTGTTAAGTTTCCTTCATCTGTGCATCAGTCACAAGAATAAAATAGATTTCCCCTTCTCAGCCCTTGGGAATAGCAGGGCCTATTCACCTGTATTTACAGCAATGCCTCAAGCAAACCGTAAGAAATTTAAGAGGAAACCATCATGTGGCTTCAGCCTTTTCTTTATTCACTTGTCCGGTTACCTCTTTTTACAGGAGGAGAAAATACTGGCCTAGAGCTGAGAAGAAAACAAATGTCTTGGTGCAGTCCTAGCTGGCCAGTAATATACATTGAAAGTTCTCTTTATAAAGTTTAATTATAGCCATTCAGGCCAGGAAGGTTAGGATGGGGGGGGAAAGGTGTCAGAGTTAAATAGCTCCCCTCCTATCACATGAAAGAAAGGTTTCTCTCATCTGACCGACACACTGAATAAAGTAGCTGTAAATTCAGTATGCCCCCCTCAGTGATGCAAAAAAAAAAAAAAAGTATTGAGTTTCACACACTATTTGTACTCAAATATATTTTCTCAGTTTTAAATCTGCAGCTATTTTATTGAGTGCAAATGTCTTGAGCTGGAAAGGGTTCAAGAAAAATAATGTTGCATTTCCTTATGTCTCAGGAAACACTTTTTATGGTAACTTGTCAGACTGTCTATGAACAAAACCCACTTTTTTAGACATTGATAAGAGTCTTCTTTTCTTCACGTGATATTTTATACAAGGACACTTCAAAAATGTGTTATTAGATGTGACTGATTTTAACAAATCCTATTAGATTTGTATCAACTAGTTACATGTTATATTCATAGTCTTTTGTGAATCATCGCCTTTTTGTTTAAAAAGATGGCCTGTTTTGAGCCTTTGTATGGGGGGAGGGGGGGTAACATTCCTGTTTCTGTGACAAAAAAAAATCTTAAACTATCCCAAACAAAGAACAATGGCTATCAGAAGAATGTTTTGTTTTAGTGTGTTACCGTTATTGTATTTGTTTATTGTGAAGGTGGACATTTAGCGTTCAGTGCAGTTTTCAATAAAAAGTGATAAAATTTCTATAATTTCTGAAATGTAGAGCCCTCAATGCAATTTTAATATGGTTAAAAATAGAAACCCTTTGAGAATGTAAAGTAAGTTATGCTGTTATGATCACATGTATTAGTACCCACCTCATAAAAAGACCTCATGGCTGCACAACTCACAGTGAGGTAGGGCAGATCTTCAGCTGCTGTAAATTGGCAAAGCTCTATGACAGTTTACACCAGCTGAGGATCTGACCCTAAATTTCTACTCCACATGTAGATATTTATAATTTAGAAATGCTGGAGAAACTAAATTTAACCTTGCTGATTCCTTAGTCAGTTCAGTTTTAGAAAAACTTGCCTATGTTACCTTCTGCCCCATGACTTTTTATTTTTCAGAAAAATAGGCACTTTGGATACATACCTCGCTAATATTTAAATTCTGTGCAACTTTCATTTAACCTACATATTCAAGAAACTCACCATCATGAATACTGTGCTTTAAGTTTCTGGAGAATCAAGTTTAAGCCTGACTGAGCACTAGGCAGCTTCAAACTTCACTGCATGGAGGGCCCATCCTTGTATTACTGCAGTGCCCTTTTAAAATGAATCAATGCCAACATCAGCTTGAATAGATGGGGCAAATAACGACATGGGAAAAAACAACTGAAACCAAAATTTCTAGTAGTTACAAAACTGTATTTTTGTTTGTTTTAAATTAAATGGAAAGCTATTTACCAGCTTCAAACATGTTACAAAGAGGTCACATTTCATAGCTGTGTGACTATCCTTTTGTCAATGATCTAACAGAGCAAGTATGAATGATTATCCATAAACACCAGCATAGAGAAAAACCAGGAGAATAAAACAGGTTAGTCAGAGAGGACATTTGGGAAACACGAAAATGGAAGATAAAACATTTAATTCATGTTGTCAAGGTTTGAAGTGACTATTTTTGGTACTATCATAGTTTTTTAAAATAAGCAGTTGCATTTCAGGTGAGTGTAAATACTGTTCTATGAAAAGGAATAATTCATGCCAGTGGTTCCTAGTGCATCCATTGCCAGCAGTGGATTTTGAATCAGGAAATAAGAGTCCTGGGACAAACCTTGCAGAGAATGGTAGATGCTGTATGCTTTCATCCAGTACTTATAAAAATAAGACTAGATGCAAATCATAGCCAACTTAGACAATAGCTTCCACTTAGGTTTTACAGTTCAACAAGAACTACAAATGAATTTAAAAAATCCAAATGTTACTAAGTATCATAACAACAAGCTTCAGGTTAAAAACAACACTACTTGTGGGGTTGTGACCAGTACAGAGGGATTCAACTGTCTGTAATACAAACACCAACAAAATATGCAAGGAGTAGGTCACATGGAGAAGGAGAGAATGTGTATCCAGCCTGACTTGATGTATTCCTGGGTCCAAAGCAATGTGACTGTAGTATGGCCAAGTGTTTTTAGACAGAAAAGTTAGTCTGCAAGGGGAAGGGAGAGAAATGTATGCCAGATAGCTGCTGCTCAAGATTTGTGCCTTTTGCTTTACTGACAAACCAATTTACTGCTGCTTTTGTACTAATACAAGGAAGGGTGGGGGCCCTTCCATCAATCAAGGATAACATGAAGCAGTTCATACAAGTAACAAAAATGTGACTTTTTTTAAAAAAAAAAGCCAGTTTTATCAGCACAAAGTGTCACCACTTCATACAGTAAAGCTCACAGAAGTTACTTCTCCTTAATCAGTTAATTAAGCAACACAACAAGAATTCTGCATTCTTCAAAATGCACAGCAATGTTACTGTGTTAAAGGAATAGGAAACATTCCAGTAATGCTGGTTAAAAGCTATGCTGTAGCAGCACTCTGGATGATTTCAGCATGCCTTGGTTTAACAAGAGCAACCCAGGAATTAAATTCTACTAAGGAATTCATAAATAGTCCAAGACAGTTCCCAGATGCAGAGGGGGCAAGAGCTTGAAGTGAAAAGCCAAGTACTGGGCTATGTAAGCATTCAACAGTACGAAGCCAAATGGTAAATTTAATATAGATTGGGTCAACAGGACTTACCCATCACTGCACCAACGTGTTTGTAAACCTTCAAGTATGTCAAATGGGGAGATTTAATGTACACTGGCTACTGTGCTGGGAAAAGGACAACTGCTTACACCTTCATCTACTGTAGTGGGTGAGGTACACGGTCAACAGCTGAACCCCAACTCATTTAACTAAGGATTTTTGTTTAAAAAGTCTCACTTGATTTTGAAAACACAGAGTGAGGCTTGTTAGCCTGAACCTATCATTTTATAGATTAGAAGAAAGCAGTAATGGTTAATAAAACTATAAAAAAGTATCAGGGGTGTCAATTCATAACAAAAGTGGGGCATAGATATTAGACAGTGTGGGGTTTGGTTTGCTTTTTAAAATCAAAAGCTGTAATTGATTGTATAATAAACTGACATTAAATCTCTTTAAAAATGAAAGGATGTTCATTTCTTCAAAGTAACTCAAATTGGGGTGCAGGCCACCGATATTGTTGGAGGCAAGATACGGCTTGCTTTTGCAACAATTTGGTTGGAGAATGGCAGAATAATGAATAAAAATTAAAACCTATTTCACAAGGAAGGTATTTGAATCTTGCTTCTTATGACTTACAGTAACAGTGTGTCATTTGGGGGAAGATATGTCAATGAAGCAAAGTGTAATCTGCTGTGTGTGTGTGTGTCAACACCATTCACATAGCATACTGAATGCACGAGCTCTTAACTTACTTAAGTTACTCATTGGTCATGGTACACATGGATTTCATTGTAAGGTAACATCATAATCTTGGAAGAATGAGGACCAGGTATCAATTTACCTGACTACTGCATTTCGAAAGCAAACTGAAATCAAGATTGTATATTAAGATATAGAACCTGTTCACTATCTGTGATTCTTCTATTTTCACTCAGGTAATTCATACATATACTGCAAAGAAACATGCATTCTTTTACCTGAAAATCTATGCATGCACCAATGAAAGGAGACCTAAATGGCCAAAAGTGTGAAGACACATTTCATAATAAACATCAATGGAATCTGAGGGGGGAAAATTGCTAACTTAATACAGCACTTCATTATTTCTATATTTTTGGTGTTTTGTCACCAAGATTATCTAGGAGTTGTGCACATTTCAATACCATCTAAGCAGCATTTAGAAGAAAAAGCAGCAAGTTCTTTAGTGTTTCCATAGCCTTAAACTACACAAAAATATGCACTTTATGGGTCTTCTTTTGAAATTCTAGGTCATCTACTGCAAAGTTCCCTATCCACCAGGCACGCACACACACTATCAATAGCTTTCAAAGTGCTTATTAAAGAAGATCTGAATTGCACTGTATATGTAAAAAATGGCATTAACCTTCAGTGTCTCTAAGCAAGGTTGTTTTAAGATAACTTTAGCCATACAATTTGTAATGGGTAAAGTTATCACATATAATAAAATTTCTACAGATGAATATATTCTGGACTTCCACTTTTAGGAACCTTACATATTAAGTATGGCCACAAAAGTCAACATGCAAGAAATTCCCAGGTTTACATAGAGAAATATATTATACAGTGCTTTTTTTAAAAAAGCCACTTTAGAATGAAGTTTGTTTAAAAAAAAAAAACTGCCGAGAGTTCTCACTAATAATCGATGAAGTAGTTTTCACTTGCAATGTTTAACTAGGGTGAAAGACTCAATGATAAAATGATATGCTGTACATATCACAGCAAGACTGGGTTTGGACAATATGAAATTCTCAAATCACACTTGAGTTGGCAACTCCACACAGTTGTTTAGTATGTAATCTCTGGAATAATGTTTTAGGTCACTTTTCTAAATAAATATTTTAAGCATACTGAAGAAAGTATTAAATGTTACAAGGTGAAATATTAATGGAGAGCAAAAAACTATTTTTCAGAAAACAAAATATAAGTTCACTCAATGAAAAATGTAGCTCTTCTTCCACAGTTTGTTCCTTAAAGATTTGATTTTATTATAATGGGCACAACAGTAACTAAAATATTAATAAAATAATGAACTTGTTTGTACTTCTAACTTACTCTGGATAGTTTGTGCAAACAAAAAAATAAACCTCACCATCTGACCTGGGTACTGGTGAGATCTCACAAAATGGCCTTGCAAGAAAACGTGTCAGAATATTTAAAGAGTGATGTAGAATACAAGTTCTACTGTAAAAGTAAATCTCAAAAGGAACAAATATCCATCTAACATGTGCTTTTGTAAGTGCCCTTACTTGAAAGAAATTTCTTCTCAATAATTTTAAGATGCTGGTACACTTTTTTCCTATTACACAACTTCTTACACAACCACATGCGATACATTTATAGACAGATTTGCAACTGGAAAGAAACAAATGTTTTGTCTTGATAATAAAATTAGTTTTTTGTTTTTGTTTTTACAAACTGTAGTCCAACCAATTTAGCTCTCTTCACACAGCAGATGAACCTCTATACTCTCCCCATGCTGGTAAGTAAAATCCTTTCAGCATGCTTCTGCTAGATTTAAGTCAATCCATAACAAACCGCTAGAGTACAACTCTAACTTTGGGGTCATCAGACACTATGCATTGATACTTTATTTTTATTTCATCATTCATCATCATCATCTTCATCTTCCTCACCATCAGAAAGGGATGTACATGGGCGAATCTGTCGGTAGCGGTCAAGCCACTTCTCTACCATTTGTGTGACCAGGGGATGATTGCGGCGACGAGAGCTTTTCTGCATAGCAACAAGGACTCCACCCTCTGTCACACAGCAGTCTAGCCACTCTCTGAGCAGCTTTTCTTGCTGCTCCTCATTACCTATCTTAGGGGACAGAAAACAGACTCAGGATGAGGGTTTCAAGACTGCTGACAAACTTTAAGGAAACAACCCATGGTATATTGTGACTTTTGAGCTAAAGTAGTACCACTATCTTATTTAAATGCGGTTAGTGGGACGTAACATTTCATAATATTTATCCTTTTTTTTGGCTTTTATTTTTGAGAGTTTAAGTGAACACTCAGGTTTTAGATTTTTTTTTTTTTTAAGTAATTGTTACATTAGTTCTTATACTCAACCGTACTCGCCAGTTTTCCCTCTCCCTCCTCGTCTTTTAAAAATCCATTTTAAAATGAACCTTAGTACAGTGCAAATATTTGTATGTTACCTACTGTACAGATGCAGCAGACAATTCTAAAACGGAGGAGTTCTTACAAAACGCTTGTAAATCACAAGGCAATCCTTACAATTCTAGTAATGCTCTGCTCTAAACTCCTGTCCTTGAAGATATTGTTCAAAGTTATGGCTTGCCAGGTAATATTCCCTTTATACCTAAAATTATATACCGTTTCTCCTTTCTCTACATATTGGCTTCTGTGGACAAGGACCCATGTTCATTTTTTATCTCCAAATCCTCAAATGTGGCTCTACACTTCGCGACAGTAGCTCCCTATCAGTATCAGCAAACAAACATAGCTTAATTAAAGCAAAGATGTATATAATACTATAACTCTTAGAGCTTACTGGCCAAAAAATAAGTTTCACTCACTCAAACTAGGGCTGAATTTAAATTTTTAGTTAACTGGGTGCCTATTCTAGATATATCCGGGTCCATTTCAGGGTTACTGCATTTGTATTTACATTCAACTTGTAAGAAACTAAACTGAGTTCCAAAGATGTGAGAAGCATCCTTTTGAACAGTCTCAAATGATGGAGAGGAGAGCAGAATCAAAAAAGGGTAGATGTATTTAAAACTTCAAACATGTCAGACTGCAAAAGAGACCTGTACTTACAAATAACGTGTGGGAAAAGTTGCCAGCCACATAAATGCTTCTTACCTCTTGAGCAGAGAGGAAATGAATATGCAGTAATTTCCTCTCACTATCAACCAATGGTAAAAAAGTAATGGTAACATCATCATCAGTGTTCAAGTTAGCACCAGCACCTCGATTGCCATAACCATCATTCTCCATGGCAACCAGAGCAGAGAAGTGGCCCCTTGTATAGCCCAGAGCAATAGGACTTTTCCAACAAAAACTCTGTTCCCATAACAAAGGTAAATATACACCTAGAAATAAAAAGAAAAAGGGATAAGACACAGAACTGGAACTGGAGCCCTCTTTTACATTGAAGTGATTTTTGGTGGAGAGGGGGTTTCCAAGCTGCTTTTGTTAGCTGAATATTAACACAGTATGGACATTAAAATAACTCAACCACAATGTAGCTGTTAAAATGGATCAGGCTTTCTAGTATGAAATCATTACTGGGTCAAGCATGAGATTACAATATACATACCCTTATCTGCTACAGTACAAGTTTACGCATAGGTTGCCCGTGCGATTCCAGCCAGTACTGCAATTCCATTGCCCTTTCCACACAATAAGCAACACCAGTAAATAATATAGCAGTAATAATATTTCATGTCTGGTAATCCCTTAAAATATGATAAGGGATTTCACAGCATAAGAGAATAAAACACTACACTTGTTTTTTCATTATTTTCTTAAACCACCAAAAATTTTGCCTTCTGCTTTCAGAAGATGATATTAAAAGAATCTTATCACACCACAAGATTATGCAGTACTGAACTGCATGGCAAACTTTCCCTGTCTGGCCAGACAGCCTTCA